CCTCATACCTCGTTGAGACATTAGCTCTAACACGGAGAACGCTTCCTCGGTCCGTCTCTCCTTGTAAAGAGCATGTATTACAGTGTTAAAGGTTACAACATTTGGTGCAATTCCTTCATCCAGCATTCTATTAAACAACCTTGTGGCTTCTTTCCATTGCGAGGAATGGCAGAGGCTATTAATTAAGGAGTTGTAGGTGACGATATCAGGTTTTACACCTCTAAGGAACATTTCTTCCACAAGGTTAAGTGCCTCTGCTGTCTTCCCTTACTTGCACAAAGCATCCAACACAGAACTGAATGTAACAATATTAGGGAAGGCGCCACAATCAATCATGTTTCTAAATAGCCGCACAGCTTCTTCCCACTTACCAGACTTGCATGCTGCAGAAATGAAGGAAGTAAAAGTGAAAACATCAGGCCTTATGCCTTTCTTATTCATATCTCGAAATAGGGTCCTGGCCTCATCTATTCGTCTTTCTTTGCATAAGCAGTCAATGATTGGAGTATAGCATTGAGGGTAGTGCTTAAACCTTGCATCTTCATACATGTGCTCGAGTATCTCAAGTGCAACACATGTTTTCCCAGCCTTGCATAACCCATTAATTATAGTAGCGTAAGTGATTTCAGAGCATCCTAATCCTTTCTCTTCTATTTTCCGGAACAACTCCATTGCCTCAGAGATCGATCTATACTTGCAAACCCCATTAAGCAAAGCATTTAGAGTATAACCATTGGGCTGAAGACCATGTTTAAGGGTAGTTGCTAAAACAGAGAAACCCAAGTCCACCCGATTCATACGGCACAAGCAATTGATAACAATATTCAGTGTACAGACTTCGGGCTGTAAGCCAACACAAGCCAGCATCTGTTTATACATAGAAACTACAGCGGAACACTGATTCATCTTGGAGAGTGCCCCAAACAAATGATTGATAGCCCAAATCGAGGGAATGGGATTCATTTGAATTACGGAATTGAAGTGACCCAGTGCCAAAGAGCAAAACTGGGTTCTCACAATGACACGCCCAAACAGAGAATAATAGAGAGAAGATGGATTACCCTTGTGGAGAAGTGTCAGAGCTGGAGCTCTCTTAGCGATCGTCATCGTCGTCCAACTCAAGACTGCAATTCAAATACCGTCTTCTCCTCCTGCCAAAATTTTCCTATACCATGGTCCATGGATCATACTCGTGAAAAAATAGCAGCTGCTTCAACAGAAGTGAGTGAGAGCAAACAAATATCTTCACAAGTATGCATGTTGAAATCAGTCTCTGTATGTGGAGAGTAACAAATATCTTTACAAGTATCTCTTTTCTTTTCTTTTTTGGTTACATTGGGAGGAGAGAAACCCCTTGGGGTTTCGAACCTTGGTGCCAAGCAGGGGGCAGGGGGAAGGGGGAAGCCACCACTGTGGTATCTGCTCTCGACTACAAGTATCTCTTTTGAATTATTGATCCAGTGCAGTTGCAGTTGTGACCGCAATGTTATATTGATAGATCCACCCATGAACATAGAATAGCTAAAGTTGTTTATGGGCCGGGTCGAATCCCAACTATGTAACCCATCTGTTTACAGCGACATAAAAAATTAAATTCAAAATATATAAATAAGAAGTTATTAAGAGAAAAAAAAATTACAAATTTAGCTTGTTTGACAATATTGACATTGAATTCAAGGAAAAGCCGAAGGGTTAAAACAAGAAAGGCACCTCTAAGCCTGACAAACTCAAAAGCATCCTCAGCCACAAGGTTTGCAATGCGTGATTGGGAATTTTAATTTATTTTTGGTTAAAAAAAAGTTCAGAGTGAGCGGAGGTTATCCCATTACAGGCTAAGGCATACCAAAACCTTTTCAAGCACTTACAAAGGGTTTCAACACATGAGATTTGGTAAATATTCCTAACTACTGGAGCTACAAACTCATTGGCTTAGAGCAAGTCCAGCGCTCACCCAAACCTGGGCAAAAGGCCCCCCCTGGCAGCCCAACTCCCCTCCAGCGCGCAGAAAAGAGCTCGGGCAATGGCTGGGTCCCACCAGCCTAGGCAGGCCCAAGGGCAACTTTCGCCTGGGCTTCAGCCCAAGGGCGCTGACGTCAGCGCTGGTGTTATGCTGACATCAGCGAGCAAAAAAAAAATTCTAAAAAATTATAAAAAATTCAATTTTAAAAAAAAAAATACCAAAAAATTATGGATATTTTCCCTATAAATACATAACAATTTTATTCACTTTCCCTATAAATACATAACAATTTTATATTTTGTTGCATATATATTTTTTTTTCTTGCCCTTGACTTGCCTTAGACTTTGCCCTCATGGGTGGAACTACAAATGCAAAGGCTGACACTATTCACGTGAATAGTTGCAACCCTTGCTTGCCCTTGCCTTAGACTTAGCCCTTGTGGGTGGAGATGCTCTTAATGATCTCAACATCTCGGGCATACAACATGCAGATTCCATAGGATGGTTTTCTACTTAAATGAATGTAAATTGGGTCTCGGGGGAAAGTAGTGCCTATTGTAAAAGTTTTAGATCCAGGTCTTCTACTTAAACCTAGAGGTGTCAAATGGGACGAACCGGCCCAGCAAGGCACGAGCCCAGCCCATTTAAATGAGGCACAGCACGGCACGAGCACGAATATTAATGGGCCAGGCCGGGATAAAAAAATGAGATCTAATGGATCGGGCCGGCCCATGGGTCAACATGGGCCGGGCTTGGCCCGAGCATGCTTCAAGCACGACACGAGCCCAAGCACGGCCCACTTAACATTTTTTTCTTTCTCAAAAGTCAAAATGCAATAATTTGACATCTAATGTCATTGTTTATATATATATATATATATACATATATATATTTTTAATCAAAAATATATATTTGATGTCTTTCATTTTAGGAAAATTACTTGGGTCCTTAATTAATTAAACATATCAACTACAAATTAATTAAACAACATTGGACTTGATATCTAATCAGTACATATGACTTCTCTTATAATCAAAACAAGACATTTTTTCACATATAAAATATTAAGTTGTTTAAAGATGAAAAGTTGAAGTGGACTGTGTGGAGTTGGACATTTTTTGCCATTCGCCATTTCATATTGTTTGGATGTTTGATTGATTAATGTTTTCAAATAGTTCATCATTTCTTGCCTCTAATTATATTTTTAATTTGAATTATCTAGTGGAAGAAAAATCAAGTGAAAAAAATTCAAATTAAATGAATTGGTTCTTGGGCTCGAGTATGGCACGAGGACGAGGACGGGCAAGGCATGAGCCCAGCCCGGCCCGGCTCGTTTCAATATGGACATGGGCTTTGGGCTGGGCCGAGATCAATGATTTTATTAAATGGGCTGGTACGGCACGACCCGATAAATTAAATGGGCCGGCCCGACCCAACACAAAAACGTTAAAAACATGAGTTTAAATGGGATGGGCCAGCCCGGCACGGCCCGTTTGACACCTCTACTTAAACCTCATCAACCAGAACTGGAAGAGTTCTCTTCAAACTATACTGAATTAATTAGGAGAAGACTAGACTAGATTTCCCACTTCTGCGAGTTAGCTAATTCGTCTAAACGAATTTTTCACCAAATTGTTTGCTCGTTTTGATGTAGGTTGCTTATATGGGCAATATTGATTTTGTTACACTAGTATTGTAGTAAAAACATGGAAGCACAATGTTCATAAAAGGCCTCGGTAGTTGAGCAGCAGCATCGGCATTGGAATAACAGTGTTGAAAACTAATGCTCATTTGTCATCTAGACTATTCTAGAAGAATCATGAATAAAGCACGAGCCTAGAATTCTGGAGTAGCACACCAACAATGTCGGCACACATGCAGAGGCGGCCCATGGGGTGTGTGAGGTGTGCGACTGCACAGGGCCTCCAAATTTTTCCAAGTCAACCCATTAAATCAACTAAAACATGAAAATAAAAATGAAATATTAAATATCACCCCACAACACCACATGCAAGGCACCAAAACCAAAATTGAATTGAATATTAATTATCAACAAATTCTACGACTTAGAGAGTAGAGGCCCTAATTTAATTCATTTTCCTCTTCTCAACTCTCAAGCTGCAAAACCATTCTAATATTCTTTTCTCTTTCAGTAAGTCTTTCTCACTCTCCTCCATCAAAATAAAGTCATTTCTCTTTAGTACCAGTGTACCACCCTCTTCCATCAAATTTTGGATTGTAAAAACCTAAGCTTTAGCCTTTCCCCAAAATCACAATTCTTTTCTCCCTCCCTTATTCACATGAGAATTCTCCAAGCATTGAAATTGGAAAATCAATTTATCAGCTCTGTGATTTGGAAGGGTGACTAAAGAAATTTTTCTGGGAAACTTTTTCCGAATGTGTTCTTCCCGTGTCAGAAATTTTTGTTTCTATATGGATTTTTTTTTTTCCTACTTGTATATATAGGGCCACACATCCATATTTGCACAGGGCCTCCAAAATCAATGGACTGGCTCTGCACACATGAAGGAATATGCAAGATTATTCTAGAGAGTGACAAGTTAATGGCTAGAGTATGGCGGTGGAAGAACTCTCTAGAGCAAGACTACAACTTGTGGCTTGAATGAATATGCCAAGTCGGTGACAATGGCGGCAACACCTTGCCTATAAATAGGCATGCAATGCAATATAGCAAGGTGGAGCAAAATATAGCTACCTAACCTAAGCTAGTAAGCTAGCTATCTAGCTAATCGACCTAAGGTGGTGAGGATTAGCCAAGTGGTATCAGAGCATCACACACCTCTAAAATCCAACTAACAGAATGGAGGCAACCTATCCTATACAGAGAATCCTACTCAGATTTTTGAACCTGTAATGAGGCTACTCGAACTTTATTTTCTTTTTTTTCTTTTTCGCCGATGATTCTTGCCAGAAGGTAGGAATGTTTATATGACATGAGAGAAAAGGAAAATAGGTTTAGGATCTTTTACAACTTCATCAGGCTTTACTTTTTCTCTATTACAACTTCTTCAAGCTGGAACACAACTCATGTAAAATAAAATTTTAATATCTAAATAAGAAGTAAAACTGAAAGACATCCTCAACCAAAAAGCTTGGTGATGGAGAGGCCGAAGGTTTAAAACAAGAAAGACATTCCTAAGCCTAACAAACTCAAAAGCATCCTCAGCCACAAAGCTTGCAACAGCTCAAATAAAAACAAAATTTGAATTTGAGCTTGAGCTTGAGCTTGCAACAACTCAAAGCAAAGGGCTTGATCTACAAAGCCCTCTGCTTTATGATCTCAGCATCTTCGCCATACAACAGACAGACCCCACACTTCTCCGGAATGGGTCTGTAGGCGGAATATTTGTCTATGCTGAAGTCAACATAGACCTCGGTAACAAGTTTGTAAAATGCAGTGGGGATTTGAGCTGCCTCTACAACTTCAAAGACATTATACCACCATACAAACACCTCATGAGAATCTTGGAAACTGCTTCCAAACAGATACGGATTATACAAACTATTTTTTATTTCATGGCTTTCCCCGTTACTAGCTTTGAAGCTGTACTTCCATCTAATCTTCATATACAAAGGAGCATATGCAACGACAAGAGATAGAGCGAAACCCAAGAAATCTGTGCTAAACCAATCAGGAGGAAGCTGAATCTTTACTGAAGATCCCTCACTTTGATGGCTGAACCAATTTGGAATGTCATACCCTGGACATTTAATGGCAACTAAACATCTCCCACAAAAACTTTCCTGTACCACAGATATGGACACCATAGTTATTAAACTCGTGAAATAAATAGCAGCTGCTTCAACAGAAGTGAGTGAGACAGACAGAGTGTGTGTGTGAGGTAGAGAGAAAGAGAGATGAAGAAAGAAAGAGATAGAGAGACCTGAATCACATCATGCATAAAAAATTCATCATCTGAATCATATGATGCTCGTTCAATTTTTTCTTCTTTAAACTTTGATGATGCAGTTGCCATTCGCATAATTCTAAGCTGTGCATCAGCCATTATGTTGCTTCGTGCATTCGGATCCAAATTTGGGCAACTAGAAAATATATGTTTCTCATGAAGCCTTCGAGAAAATATATATTCGTCCCAACATTGTATGAGTGCAGTGCTTGAACTTGACACTGTCTTCAGTGACGTGCAACCACCTGCTTCAAGACGTTGTAGCAATGGGGGGAGCTCTGGTAAAGATTCAAGGTTCTTGCAATCGCTTAGGCACAGGCAAGACAACTCAGCTGCTTGTTTGATGCTTCCAGGTATGCTCTTAATTTTGGCATTGTTCAGATTTAACTCTTGTAATGAGGTTAAGCAAACGAGACCATCAGGGATTTCTTGTATACTGCAATAACTGAGGTTTAGTGCTTCCAAAGAGAGCAAACCGACTAAGTCTACTGAGACAGGAGGCAATTTCTTCAGTTCCGAACATCCATCAAACCTGAGAGTTTTAAGGTTGCTTAAATTGTAGATGCTGTTTGGGACAACCTCAAGGTTCTTGCACATGTGGAGGTCTAATTTTCGAAGGGCAACTAGATTTCCAATTGATGGGGGTAGTTCTTTAACCGCTGTACCTGATAAATTTAGAAACTCCAGATGTTCCACGGGCTCCGAGACTTCTGGGAAGTATTGAAATTTGGAGCAGCGACTGAGATCAAGGCTCTCAAGGGATTTCAACCCCCAAATGTTCGTTGGGAGACTCACAAGGCTTTTGCAAGCTTCCAGTTTAATTGTAGTGAGACTAGAGACAAACTCAATTGATGAGGGCAATTCTTTTATTGTTGTGCCCCTCAAATCTAGCACTGTTGTATTCCTGGGAAGCTCTGAAAACTCGCAAAGAGATACGCAACCCTCTAGACTAAAAGTACCCAAGACATTCAGCTTACAACTGCGGCCTGGAAGTTTCTCAAGGAATTTACAATTTGTAATATCAAAGTAAGTAATTTTTTTGTGAGACCAAACTGTTGATGGCAATTCCTTTATTGCTGTCTTAGACAAATCTAAGAATTCAACATTACATGGAATTTCGGGAAGATTTTTGAGATTTGTGCAGCCCCCAAGTTCAAGATAAGTAAGCTTGTCAAGTGTTTGAAAATACGAAGGAATTTCAACCAAACTTACACAACCACGAAGATCTATATGTACAATTTTTAGACTCCGAGAGAGATTTGGAACTTCAGTTAGATATTCGCAGAAACGAAGACTGATCACTTTTAAGTTGATAAGCTTCTGTAACAAATGAAAGAGGGTTGACAATAATTAATAACTTATCTTGCACGTTATACAAAAACTAAGATAAGCATATATACCTGCTCTTCATTCCAAAGTTGCGACCCAGTAACTTGGCTGTACGGCAGACGAAGCTCAACAAGATTTACAGGAGAAAATTTGGATGGCAAGGATTGCAAAGGATATCTCTCCCAGTTAAGATAACTAAGATAATTGGGAAGATCAAGAGAACCAATTAATGTGTGGTGTTCAAGAAACCAAGAATAACCAACATGTAGCCATCTCAGTTGATACATCTTTTTGAAGTCTGCATCATTCAAGTTTAGCTTTTCAATCTCAGACCAGTCAAGGGATATGGCTTGAACAGTTGCAGCTCTCTGAAAATCAAGTGCAAAGTATAAAAAGTGAACTAATATACAAAAAGTTTAGTCAAATGTGCATATAACATAATTAAATTACCTGGTTATTCAATAATTGATAGACATCCCTTGCTGTGAACAACCTACTGCGTTCTTCAATACGTTGTTCACAAACAATTGCCCTACCCATTTCTTGCACCAAATCATGCATCTCTATTCGTCCTTTTGAAATTGATATGAGAGACCTATCAATGAGAACTTTGATTCCGACTTCCCCACAGAAACCACGTCCATCTAATGACTCTTTTACATAATTCCTGCTATAGCCTTTATGAAAACATGCTATATCAAGAAATATCTCCTTCTCATTTTCTTCTAATCCATCGTAACTTACTCTCAATGCTTTCTTGATTTCTTCGCTTGGAAATCGTTTCAATTTATTCAGTTGATCTTCCCACTCTTGTTTGCTCTTGCAACCAAGGAATAAGGACCCCATAACTTTAAGAGCTAATGGAATGCCTTCAATATAATCTACCACCTTTCTTGACAACTCAGTGTAATCTGTTGTTAGAGACTTATTTCTGAAAGCATGCGAATGAAAGAGCTGAAGAGCTTCTTCGGAACTTAATCCCTCAACCTTGTATATCTTATCATGGTCAACTTTTTGCTCAAGTAGGCCCTTATCTCTAGCAGTTATAATGATTCGACTTCCTTGGCAAAACTGATCATGATAACCAACAAGAAATTCTAGTTGGCTTGGAGCGTTCACATCATCAAGAACAATGAGCGCCTTTGTGCTGCTGAGCCTATATCGAGTAATAGGTGGTATAGAAGGAGTGTCGATATTTAGATCTTTTTCTTTTAATATCTCACCAAGAAGTTTATTTCGCAACTGATTCAGTCCATCCGTTTGTTCTGATTTCTCCCTAACATTTGCAAGAAAACAATGAGCTTCGAATTTAGGGGTCAACCTTAGAAATATAGCATCCGCAAGGGTGGTCTTGCCAATACCACCCATTCCCCAAATACCTACACAGCGAACACATGGTGAATCCAAGCACAATAACGACTCAATTTTCTCAATTTTCCTTTCAATTCCTACCAGGCCCCTTAAATCAATTGACGATTCCCGGTGCAATTTGGCCCAAATATCTTGGACAACTCTTTTAACTAAATTGGCCTCCAACCTGAAATATATAATTATAAAGGACAAACAAACAAATTGTTAGTAAGTATACCGGCCTAATTAAATAGTCACAAGTAGAACTCAAAATATAAGTTACAGAACTAATTACTCTGTTTTTTCTGAATCATCAAACCCAGATAGACTGGCTGCTTCTGTCAATGCAGCCCTCCACTTGTGCACCTTGTCGTTACTATCCCTGAAACATTTTTCAAGATGACGAAATGCAAGTGCATAACTTCCCTGTTGTTTCCGTACATTTGATGGAGTGATGTCGTAAAAAATGGGTATAACCAACTGGCCATTTTTTTGCTTGCATTCTAGTATATGCACAAGTTCATCCAGACACCAAGTAGAAGAAGCATAGTTTTCTGAGAAAATGATTACCGAAATTGCTGATCTCTTGATTGCTTCGAGGAGGGCAGGCACAATTTCATCTCCTCTCACAAGCCTGTAATCTATGTAGGTTTCGATTTTCTTCCCACATAAAGCATGATAGAGATGGCTGGTAAAAGTACGGCGGGTATCCTTACCTCTAAAACTAATAAACACATCATACTTTTCTTGAAGAGGAGGGATATCAATATCAGCAGCAGCAACAGAAGAAGTAGAAGAAGAAGAAGAAGAAGAAGATGTAAATGATCTGAAACCCGTGTAGAACAGAGTCATGATGATGATGATGAAAACTAGAAAGCACCCAATGAACTCCATATCCCTCTCTTTCGTATGTTTATGAGTATTTAGTTATAGAAGAAAGAGAATCTGGTATTGGAGATGGAAGGGGTTAATTAAGTTGCACCCGAGGACCCGTTTAAGCAAGAGACAAAGAGAGCTAGAAATAAGTTGCCACTGGCAGCTTGAGAGATTTGTGGCCTTTTGTTGTTTAGAAAGAAAGGGAATATAAAAGCAGTTGCTGAGACTAGCTAGATCAGATTTTAGTTTAGCAATTGTTTGACTTGGCTATATGCACAAAGCTACAAAACGATCCAGGAAAATCATCAGCCATGGAAAAAGAAAAGTAAAATTACCTCTGAAGAATGGTACATGGGAGTGGCAACGCAATGACCCCCTCTTACACTCTTAGCGAAGGATTTTCCCCTTGTAAATTAGTGCATATAATCAAGTGTTGAGTGACTTGTGACTTTCCTTACATACCAAGAATTCCTCTTACAGATTTTTCTTTACAAAATATGTGGGAATGGCTCACGGAAGAAGTGTTTAAGTTGGAATGATAATGAGAGGATGAAAGATGCTTCAAGACGCATAGGATACGCCATCCTTCAGACTTTATTTGCCCACACAACTTGTGTGGATATAATCAAATACAAAGTGATGTAGAACATATGGCCGAGTTGATCGAGGAACAGCTAGACAGGCCCGCACGTCGTCGCCCAAGCTCAGAATCTAGCGCATGACCTATCGTTTCGAAGACAACGGCGTGAAAAATGCAACACACTGCTTTGCAGTGATGTATGGGCTATTTTAGCCAAAGTCTATAGTTTACTTTGACTTTTCAGTGTTTAAAGTTTTTAGACTATTTTGGGAGACTTTTATTATTTTCCTTTTTCTTTTCTAATTAGCTTTCTTAGCAAGTCTAGGGTTTCTCATTGGCTTTCCAAGCAAGTCTATGGTTTCTCTTGTATAAAAGGAATGCATTGGAGCATCATGAGATTATTCATCCTATTTTTAATCAATATATTTGAGGTTTACTCAATTTCTCTGGTGGATTCCGTCATTATTATCGTTCGATCTCCCTATTCTTTATATCTCGCTGCATCAATCGGTATCATAGTAGATTTTTGCCTGACTTGAAGTCCCTCCAATGGCTCGTCTAGACGGAGAAGAGAGGACCCGTGGAGATGGGGAACCAATCACTCGTGATGAATTAAATACAGCAATCAAGGGTCTATGTCAGATGATCCTGACCTTGGGAAACCAAGCACGACCAAACGAAAACAGAGGAGAAGACCCCCGTAACGAACTACGTCCCCCATGGCACCCTCGTCAAGAAGATAGTGATGAGGAGTCGGAGGAAGAAATTCATGACAATCATGTCCAACCCAATAACCAACGCCAAGAAGACTATCGTATGAAGACTGAAATCCCATATTTCAATGGGCACATACAAGTTGAAGATTTATTGGATTGGCTTGTTGAAGTGGAGAGGTTTTTTGAACTTATAGAGGTTCCCGAGGTGAAGATGGTGAAGCTAATAGTTTTTCATCTCAAAAGAAGTGTTGCAGTATGGTGGAATCAATTACAGAAGATGCACAAAAGGTAAGGCAAATCTCCTGAAGCAATTAATGACTGACAGATTCCTCCCGGCAGACTTTAAGCAATATTTGTACCGCCTTACCACAATTGCATCCGAGGCCATAGGACGATGGCAAAGTATACATCTGAATTTTTGCGCCTCGCAAAGCATAATAACCTTGATGAAACCGATAGTCAACAAGTGGTAAGGTATATGAATGGGCTTAAACCTTCCATCCAAGATCGAATTGGATTGTAGACTTTTTGAACCGTGCAAGAGGCCAATAGCATGGCCCTCAAGGCGGAGCTTATGGAGAACGAGAAACGATCGAGTTCTAGCAAGTTTCAGAAGAAATCTGCCAATTCACCTATCCCTGCAAAAGACAAAGGTAAAGAAGTTGCACAAGTTCCTGGGAATAATAATACTAACAAATGGCAAGGCACAAAGAGAGTAACAGAAGGCAGTAGTCGCACTGAGGATAAGTCCAGAGATTGAATCCATATGCAAAACCTTATGGAGATCACTATTATCGTTGCGGCAAACTAGGCCACAAATCCAACAATTGTCCCAATCGTCGGCAAGTTAACTTGGTTGAAGCGAATGAGGATCATGGTGCTAATGAAAAGTATGAAGGAGGTGATTTCGTCTATAAGGAAGGCAACAAATTAATTAACCTAGTCTTGCAATGGTTGTTACTCGCACCAAGACAAGAGGAAGTGCAGCGGCATAAGATCTTTCAATCTTTTTGTACCGACAACAACAAGGTGAGTAGTTTAATTATCAATGGTGGCAGTTGTGAGAATCTCACATCCAAAAAAGTTTTGGATTATTTAAAGTTGTCAACGGAGAAGCATGAATCACCTTATTCCTTGAGATGGGTGAAGAGAGGCCCTTCAATTCAAGTCACAGAAGTTTGTAAGATACCGTTGTCCATTTGTAAGTGCAGTTTTGTCTCAAGAGAAGAAACTAGTGACCTTTTTTAGTGAGAAACTTAGTGAAGCTCACCAAAAATGGAGTACTTACGAGGAAGAATTTTATGCAGTAGTTCGTGCTTTGAAACAGTGGGAGCACTACTTGGTACAACGAGAATTTGAACTTTATACAGATCACCAGGCCCTGAAGTTCCTCAATAGTCAGAAATCCATGAGCAAGATGCATATAAGGTGGAGTACCTTCCTGCAGAAATTCCCTTTTGTGATTAAACATAAATCAGGTACCCTTAATCGTGTGGCAGATGCTTTGAGTAAGTCTCAAAATACTAGTTTTTACACGCCTTTGCCTATGCTTAATGATATTTGGTAGGACCTTTCAATGGACTTCGTGTTGGGACTCCCTCGTACACAAAGGAGAGTAGATTCTAGTTTTGTTATTGTTGACAGATTCTCCAAGATGGCGTACTTCATCACGTGCAAGAAAACGAATGATGCTGCTAGCATAACCAAATTGTTTTTCAGGGAGGTTGTTCGTTTTCATGGCATGCCCAAATTCATCACCTCTGATCGTGACACAAAGTTCCTTAGTCACTTCTGGGTTACTTTATGGAAGATGTTTGAAACCGCCCTTAATCGCATCAATACCGCACATCCCCAAATTGATGGCCAGACAGAAGTTTCTAACAGAACTTTGGGTAACATGATCCATAGCATCTGTGAAGACAAACCCAAACAGTGGGATAATGCACTACCACAAGTGGAGTTTGCCTATAACAGCGATGTTCACAGTGCCACAGAAAAATCACATTTTGCTTTGATTTACACTTCAGTTCCTAACCATGTGATTGATTTAGTGAAGCTACCCAAGGCCCATGGAGTAAGTACCACAGCTGAGCATATGGCAAAAAACGTCCAAGCGGTGAACAATGAGGTCAGGGAGAGGTTGGAGAAAACCAATGCTAAATACAAAGTTGTCGTAGACAAACATAAATGAGTCAAGGTGTTCAATAAAGATGACTCCATCATGGTCTATTTGAAGAAGGAGAGGTTTCTAGTGGGTACTCATCGCAAGTTATATCTTTTCAAATATGGTCCTTACAAGATTCTAAAGAAGATCTACGACATTGCTTATGTTGTGGACGTGCCCCCATCCATGGAGATTTCAAGCACTTTTAATATTACTGACCTATTGTTACCCTCTTTTCGGCCGGGGCGGCCGACGGAAGGAACTTTTGGTCCTTCTTCTTTTGGATGCGGGGCGTGCCACCACCAAGCCCTGAAATTGGGCTTGAATGGAATGAGAATAGATGGATGTGTTGCGCTTCTAACTTCTGAGCAAACGATTGATCGACCAAGCAAGGAACCTCTTCTTGGCCTAGATTCTTTCACTTTCTCGGGCTCGAGAATGGTTAGGTTTCGTACGGATGTTTTTGTGATTTTTATGGTTTATGTAAAAATAATGC